CCCTTAGCCGAGAAACACCCCCAAAGCATTATTTTTCCACCTCCATGCTTGACGGTGGGGATGGTGTTCTGGGGTTATAGTCAGCATCTCTCTTCCTCCAAACACGGTGGGTCGAGTTGATGCCAAAGATCAACATTTTTGTTTCATCTGACCACATCATCTTCTCCCAAGCCTTCTCTGAGTCATTCAGATGTTCATTGTCAAACTTCAGACGGGCCTTTCATGTTCTTCTTGAGCAGGGGGGACTTTGCGGGCACTGCAGGATTTCTTCCATTATGGTGTAGTGTGTTACCAATATTTTTCTTGGTGACTGTGGTCCCAGCTGCCTTGAGATCATTAACAAGTTCCTCCCGTGTAGTTTTTGGCTGATACCTCACCTTTCTCATGATCACCAATACAGGGCGAGATCTTATGTGGAACCCCAGACCGAGGGCGATTGATGCTCATTTTGTGTTTCTTTAGAAACACACACATTCTTCTTCTGAATAATCGCACCAACAGTTGTCTCCTTCTCCCCAAGCTGCTTGCTGATGTTTTTTTCTGATGGTGCGGGGGCGTGTGGCGTAGTGGGTTGTCCGTAGGTGTTCGGATCAAGGGGTCACAGGTTCAAACCCCACTGCAGTCAGCATGTCGTTGTGTCCCTGGGCAAGACACTTCACCCCAAATTGCTCCTGTGGGGATTGCCCACAGTATTGAGTATGTAAGTCGCTTTGGATAAAAGCGTCTAACATGTAATGTAATAATGTAATGTTTTGTAGCCAATCCCAGCCTTGTGCAGGTCTACAATCTTGCCCCTGAGGTCTTTAGACAGCTCTTTAGTCTTGCACATGGTGGAGAGTTGGAATCTGATTGATTGATTCGGTGGACAGGTGTCTTTTATACAGGTAACAAGTTGATATTAGGAGTACTTTAAAAAAGAAAAAAGAGGACTTATGTAACCAGCCTGTGGGAGCCAGAATTCTTGTTGGTTGAAAGGGGATCAAATACTTATTTCCCACAAATGCAAATACATTTTTATCTTTTATATAATGTCAATTTCTGGATTTTCTTTTTGATATTCTTACTCTCTGTTTATATAAACCGACCATTAAAAATACAGACTGTTAATTTCTTTGTAAGTGGGTAAACTTACAAAATCTGCAGGGGATCAAATACTTATTTCCTCCACTGTACATGTCACACAGACTCTCACTTAAGTGGTTAGTAAGATGAAATTGTAGAACACCATAAAATCCCAGGTGGAAAAGCAGATTTTTGGGAAAATTGACCAACTATTAATTGAAAGAAAGTCAGATATTTATTGTATGGTGAGGCGAAGCACGATGGACAATTTATTCAGAATGTACAATTCCAAAGTGAATACAAATGTACTGGAACTCTCCTTCATTCCTTTCAAAAGGAAGCTAAAGAAGCTTGGCACAAAAAAAGTCCTACTTCTTCAACCACTGTGTGTTTTCTATTTCTGCATGTTAAATAAACTAGGCGTATAAATAACAAAGCTAGGCAAGGCTAACAGTTTCCTTACGATTCCTTAGTGTAAATTCAACCCAAGTACAGTTCCTGCATAATACATCATGGCTGATAAATTGCTAACGATGCACAAAAGACAGTTGTGAAAAGTAGATATCTGGACCTCATTCAAAATGGAGAACTTAAATCAAACTGACATGCATTAATTAATATTATGTAAAGACTCCTGATCCAGAAGGAACTTGAGGGAAATGTTTCTCTCTTTCAAAAATTATGGGACAACAAATAATCAGAGCTAAAAGTGTCTCTTCTTGTATCCACTCCGGTCTCAGATATGGTGGCATACAGACCCAAAACCTGCTGCAATAAAATGATTCAATTTAATTAAAAACCTGGAGGCACTTAGAGTATTGAAATACATACAAATACACAAACAAATTTTGATACTATATAATACAATAATGGAAAAATAAGATCATATTTAATAAAGCTTGAACATAAATACTGTGAACATTATGAGAATAATGTTATGAGGATGATAATAATAATAATACTACTACAAATAATAATAATAATAATACTACAAATAATAATACATGTTATTTATATAGCGCTTTTCCTGGTGCTCAAAGCGCTTAAATGATAAAAAAAAAAGATATATAAACTGCGTATTAACATATACAGTAGGTGCATGATAAATAGGTAAACATAGATGAATACCATTACTCCAAGCCATGAGACTATTCTTGGTCCAGATTAGTCAGAATATAATTTGGACAGTTGACAGTGACACATTTGTGCTTCCATGTCATTTTTTTATTCATCCCACCACCCACTGACAGTGTAACATAGGCTCTTTATTAAACCCATTCTAGTTTAAGGGGGTAGCTATTATATTCTAGAGTTTGCTCCTCTAGAATTAAAAAATTGTTCGAGTTTGTGGTTAGATGCCTGTAATAAGGTCTCAGGTTAAGCAGAAGATATATTTTCGTGTTGTTCTATGACATAAATTACGTCAGTAAATTACCCACTGTTTGAAGCTTAAATTTGTCTCAAAAAACAAGTGACTAAATAAATCTACTATACGTCATCGCGCCGAAAATGAGAACATCTTTAGCCTAGTGGTGTTGACTTAAAGTCATGCAACCTTCATTTAGTTGCAGTTACGCTTCAACTTTTATAAAAGTTGTTTGAATATGTGTGGATTATCCAGCTAAACAAAACGTGTAAGCATCATAAACGTGTGCTTGCCAAAGATCTTAGTACCTGCAATGTTCCAAAAATCTAAAGGTAAAAATCCCACTGCCCCTTTGTCGAGGGACCCCTTGCAATGCTAAATACATACATCATCACTGCACAACTTTATTGACGTTTCTTTATGCTTTCCTACTCAGAGCCTTGCTTTAGAATCGAAAATAAATCCCACAACAACTTGTATGGGTACTTTGACCCTTTAAACTCAGTCATAAAATATAAAGCATATTTTATATTAGCAAATACCTATTTCTACCACGATGGAAACATTATATGTCTGTAAATTAACCTCATTCTTACCAACACATTAATGCTCAAGCTGTCAAAGATTAAACTGAAAAGTAAAAATGTGTTGTGGTTATCTGTTTTTCTCACCTTTATGGTTAAAATATGGGATAGCTTTTTTTACAGATGTCATTACAAATGTGAATGGGCCTCGTAATACTCTGCACTTCCTATGTTTGTTCTCGCTGTTGAAGCTAATGGCAAGCCCAACACAGAAGGATTATGCAGACACTAATTTTCTGTCAACGGTCAGTTCATCTTCACTGAATTTGTTGGTTTATTCAATGTATTCATTACATTTTCATACAGGTTGAAGTGATCAATCAGATCTTAATGTATTCAGATTGCTTTATGTTAATTAACTTTATGTTAATTCGTTTTATCTTACATTATACATTGCTTTAGCAGAAACATAGCTTACACTCGCAATTACATTTAATCAATGTTGCTGGTTAGAAAACATATTTTTATTTTTGGACGTTAAACGTTTGCTAACATTGTTCCTCGAAAACTGAAAAACAAATTGATGACCCTGTTGGAAGAGGCAGAGCATGACTCTTTGTTTTGCAATCTGCAATATTTCACTGTGTTTCTCCACAGTAGTGTGTATCTGCATTCATTACTTTGATGTTGACCTTGATAGTTCTCTGGCTTTGATTTATCTTTGTGCTTTCCTTATTTTAAATTGGCTTTAAAGCAACGAGACCAAAGACAACATTGTGTATTGTTTGTTTTTCTGTGTCTGCTAAGCTGACATTGTATGTCACTTGCGAAGAATGCGAGTTTATTCCAATATAAAATGTTTTCATCCAAAGTAAATAGTCTTTGCCTTTTCCTCTCTAGTTGTCTAATCCGGGAATGTATTGTTTTGATTATTAGTTTTTACAGATGCTTTTATCCAAAGCCATTTTGAAATGTAGGGATACTGTTTTATACAGCAGATTTAGCTTTGGTTTATACTGCTGCCAACCAGCTGTATGTTTGATCAAGGGACACAAAAACTGTTTAATGTCCCTCCTCTAAAGCTTTGAACCCACATCTTGCCCTTTTGGCCCAGTCCTCAAGCCTCCCACTCTTCTAAACAGTGCCCACTGTTGGTAATCCATCTGTAAAGGTTGTGTTGTTCTTGCCTCCTGTACACAATCAATCATTTTTACGAAGGAAAACTTGGAACCCCTTAGCATGTTCATTATCCTTCTCTTCTACTAATGCACAATGTCACCCTGTATAGTAATCTGATGTAGAACCCCCAACCTCTTCTCGTCTTTTCCATTGCAGATCTCTCTGCATGTGGATCAAATCAGAATTATGCACTAATTGACCATTTACAGGGCTTGAGAAAATCCCTAATGGACTTGATATTAAATCCCCCTCAGATATTTAAAGTGTCTTTTTGGAGTGCCTTGTCGAAAAACCAGGCTTTCTCTTTTTTACAAGAAGGCCAAGTTAAGCCAGTCAGTGTGTCGGAATGGGCCAGCCAAGCCCAGGCGGCTGTTAGACGGGATTATGGGACGACAGTAGGGAAGGGCAATGCGACGCAGGGGAGAAGAGAATGGCCAGATCTCCACTCAACGACTTCCAGATGGTCTGCAGACCGAGGTTCTCTCACTGCAGATACATACTCAGCTTGGTTAACTTGTGCTCCATAAGGGGCTTAAAGTTGGCTTCTTTATAATGAGATTGACTTCGGTTTTATGTGAAAAGTAAGATGGCATAAATTTCAATACGCCTGCCTGGCCCTTTAATGCGCCATTAAGGCTTGGCTAAAAAACTTGGACTATTAAACGGAACACAGAGATCTTTGGTGTAAACTTATGCTACCTTTCTTTTTAACGTCAAGAGTAACTTACTGTAACCTTGCTAAGGGTACAGCATTTCAAAATGACCCAAGAACATTGCATTTAAAGTAATAGTTAGATATATTTGAATACCTATATCAACACATTATACTTTTGCGAAAAGTATCAAACTTTGTTTTGTGTTATTTACAGATATGGTTGGCGCCAGCAGCGGTCCAGTTCTGCTCTCTCATCCATATTCAAAGCTGAAGATTCAACAGTCCAGAATGAAGAGATCACTAATGGTGGTAGAATTGTGTATACTGTACATTTGAGTTTTCTGGTGAAATGATTGGGTTACCGCCTAATTAAGAAAATGATCTGTGTAAATCTGTGCACTGTTGCCTTGTCAGTATTAATGTTCAAATAAATAGCATCTCATGAAACAATGTTATGGTACCCTTTACATTATTTAGCAATTATGTGCACTACACAATGTTATATTATTTCAATGTAGAGACATTGCCAATGCCAAGTGGCCATCACAGAATGCTGTATTCAAACCATACTCAATCCTTTCTTTTTTGAATTTGTGTTTATAGTCCACTAATTTGCAACAGCAAATGCAGTTTTTTTTTCAAGCAAAATACATGATGTTGATGATGATGATGATGATGATGATGGGTTATTCTTTCCTAACATTTGACCAAACCAAAATCTTTCCTTATCCAAAGCACTTTTTGATGCTTACCCTAACCCCACCTGTTCCTCATCGCTCCAATAAAATGGTAGGCCAAGCTTAAAATTGTCAAAGGTATCGTTCTATCCTAGGGGTCTCCAACCTTTTTTAGGACGAGAGCTACTTTCAAAAAATAAAACAAGTTGTGAGCTACTTTTACTCCTCTTTTCTTTCTTTTTTTGCAGTGTATATATTTAGCACATTTTAACATTATTATATGCTTACCTTTAACCTTTGTGTGCTGTTTGGGTCTGTGGGACCCGTATGCAATTTAATTATTTTAACCTGCTTTATTTGGGGACCTCACATCCTCTAGGCGGGTCCGAGGGCATGCACCCCCGGGAAGATGTTTTTTTAAATGTTGAAGTTAAATGCATCAATCTGGTGCACTTTGAGCACAGAATGAATTCATGGATACAGCTCTCAACACTCAGATGAAAGGGAGCTGTATACTTTTCAATAATCCAAACGTCTTTAGAATATGATCACAACCAATAACATAACATTTAAACTTGTTTATTCTTATCTTATGTTACCTAGTTAGCATTCTTTATTTTTTTTAAAGAATCTCCCGTTCATCGCGTCCATTCGCGACCCACCTATCACATCTCTGCGCCCCACCAGTGGGGCGCGCCCCACACTTTGAGAAAAGCTGCCCTACCCTAACACTTGACTCTGCTATTAAAGTCCTGCTCTTTGTACATCCACTCATAAACTCTGACCATCTCCATGAGTCTTGTGTGTTGTACAAGAACGTTGCAGTTCCTTCCCTGGAATAAACATTGCGAGTGAATATAATCCAGGCAGCAATTATATTTCCCTCAGACATATTAGTAGTATATGAACATCATTCCAAGGACACTGTGTTTCCATACTAGTGGTTTTGCATGTTTGATCCTATTTACTGCAAATCACATACTTTATATTACAGATGTCCGACAGTGTAAATATGGAGTTTGGACTGCTACTTGGAGAGGTCCCAGTTCACTTCCTGCCCTGCCGTGGTGCCCTTGAGCAAGGCACCGGACAACTCCCCACCACCCCCCCCACTCCCATTGCTCCCTGGGCGCTGTACAATAGCTGCCCACTGCTCCTAGTACTAGACTCCTGGTACTAGGATGGGTTAAATGCAGAGAACACATGTCACTGTGTTTGCTGTGTGCTCTGCATGTGTGACCATTAAAGAGGGTTTCATCCCTCCTTTTATTTATATTATTTATTTAGACCATTTTGCAAAACATGCTGACTTGTTTAAGAGTTCTTGGATAAAGTCATCATTTCAGGCTACCATTGAATTGCACTTTATTCTATCCCTCTCTATCTTGAAATTCAACCAACAATGTTTGCAGGCTTGATGTTCACTGAAAGGGAACTCAAACTAGTTTCAAAAGTCTGCCAATTAATTTTCATATGCATATTAAAATGATTGGAAACGGTAAGAAAAAACAATACTTTACAAATACAATTAGCAAAAAGACTTGTATGGCCCTAAGCAAATCACCCTAATGACAGCAACTGTACTCTGTACTCTGACAGTTAAATTAATGTCTGAACATTTTCATCAGGCAAGTTATATTTCAGTATTTCAAGATAACTGTCTGATGATTTGTTGATTTGAATGGTAGCCCTCTGTGAAGAGCCTCCCTTCATGTGAAATGCATAATCAGCTAAGAAAGAGATAGAAAATTAGGTGCAGACATGAACCAGAACCTAGCCATCAGCATAACTCATGATCAAATGAGAGCAATGTGTGAGAGAAAGCAGTGCCCTATATCCTGATGTACTCACCCTGCTGTCTACATACTTTTAACAAATCTGCTTTACCTTGACTTTTGATTCCTATTCGACATTTACTGATTGTAACTCAAGTAGATACTGCATCTTATTAATTATATTGGACAACACCATATGGTCTTTATATATTATAAATTGTGTTTTGAACAGTAAAACTAGTTCAGTCATGGAGAACTTGAAATAGTTTACTGGAACATGGCTTCTGAAAAACATACATTTTTAAAGACACGTGCATATTTAGGGGCAACGTCAAACACATTAAGCATTAATACGTTTATTAAGGAGAGAAGGTTGCAAAAATGCTCAGCTTATGACTGCAGGCAAACCTATACTGTATCCTAAAAAGTTCCTAATAAAGTTTTTTGTAATTTCGTAATATACAAACAGTTTTTTGTCGACAGAACACTTGGATAACTGGCTATCTGGTATCAAACATTTTGACTATTGTATTTATTTTTGGTAAAACATCTTTACTATTATATATATTTTTTTGAACTCTTGTGTTTTGGAGGTTATGTAATTGAGCAAGAAAAACATTTTTTGTGAAATTTTCTTGTAAATCCATAAAAGCAAACAATCAAAAATGTCCATATTATCCATAACGAAAAAGAGCGAAAATGGTAATCTCTTCATAAAGTGGGGTTAAACTTTTTAGAAGAACAATGTTGATCTTTAATTAAATAAAGCAACAATTAGAAGCAAGAAAATGTTTATTCATCAGGAGTGCAAAAATGTCCATATATTTAAAAATGCAATATCACATTTTACAACATTTAAAATCTGGACAATGCACTAATGCATGAAGGATCATCTTCATACCATACAGAAAATCTTTCCTTGTCATTGCAAGTTTAAACTCCCTTGGATGCAATGCTACAAAGAGCCTTTTTTCTTTCAGCGTTCTGCGTGCTTATCCTGTTTTCTATTTGTAGTCTTGCAAGGATTTTTTCCAAGTAAATCATTTGGGAGTGGGATTTGTGTGCAGCTCTCTTTTCCAGTACTCACCATTGCTTAAACATTTTTTTCCTTAAGCCCGCATCTGGTTGCTGTGCCGTTTCACTATTATAGTGTTTTTGAGCCAAGCTTTGACGAACAACCACAGTAGTATTGCTTAGTCTTGACTCACAACATTTCTTCTGAGTGCTAGTATGCAACAATACAACATTTGAAAAGACCCATTCACTAACAACTTTTTAATTGATGATTTTTGGCGCACATATTCCTTCATTTAAATAATCTGTATGTACATTGTGGGAAATAAACTGTCATAAATAGTTGGCTAGTTTAATATATTTGTGGATATGATTATCTGATATGATCAATCTCACTTTGCAGTGAACTCAATGCACTTTTACCCTATACATTACACTGTAGCAAATCTCAGTAGGCACAGATAAATAATTAGGATTCAAGGTATGTTGGCTGTGATAACTTTTGAAATCTCTAAAACCTTTTTGACACCAAACCCCAGGCCCTTCTCAAAGTTGTGGGTTTTGTTTATTTTCTTACATTTTCAAGTCCCATGAAAAAACGTAGCTTAACGTTGCACTGTTGCATACGTTTACGTGTTCCTTAGTACTACAATCAAAGCCACAGTAAATTATTTTGAGCCAATCTCTGTTAAGTACACCACAATGACTTAGAGGGCTTGTTAGATTTATTTTGCATTGAGTCAAGTATGTGGACTTGAGTTGACGGTCTGAAACAACTAAAATTACAGATGAAAACATTTTTCAACAAATTAGATTTTGTACAAAACTACAATTGCCAGCTGTTTTGGTAAAATGCTGTGACTGTACTTACTGTATATTTGTGACCACTTTTTTAAAGATATACATTTTCACCGCAATCGGCTTGCATATTTGTAATACAGGCAGGGTAGGCTAACAAAGTAGTTGGTTTATGTCTTCTTATTGGACAATAAGAAACATTTAGAATAACTGCAATCTTGCTCTATCAAGGTGGCGCTCTATAATAAGTAATGGAATGCTCAGTTTTCACTCAAAGACCATCATGTACACATCTTTTACAAACCTCTCTTTCTCTTCAAGGGCAAGCACAGCAATTGTACCTCATCTTTTTTATTTTCTGGAAACCTATCCTCTTTTACTTTAGGCTAGGTAGCAAACACTTTTTGGATGTTGTCAGACTCTGCGATCGCATCAACACGTCTTGTTCCCTTGAGCTTACTTTTGCCTCTGATAGACTTTGTGATGTTCATATGCTAGACATCTGCATAAGTAACAAGGTCAGCCAGTGTTCACCACTCCACATACAATGTTTTATGTCAATTTGCTTCAGTGAGAACAAATGGATGTGAATGGTTTTGGAGTGCATTGATTATGGCTGTAGTTCATTATTGTTGATTGGCATCAGCAGCCCAAAGTGGGGTTTTTAACCTAGATTATTTCAGATTTTTATGTATAAAAAAATGGTTTCTACAGTTGTCCATGTTAGCTGTCAGTCCAGTGAGTTCCTGCGCTACTTAGCCCCACTTGGTACTGATAGGATGGATCCCGGATTGATATTGTACCCTGTGTGGGATAGGCTGAGAAATCTCTGTGAGGCCGGAGCGGTGACCCTGGCTTCTTGTGGTACAAAGGTGGATGCCCTGACCTATCTCTGGATCCCAGAACAGCTGGAGAGCAGGATGAAGAGGAGGATGAAGGAGGTATAACGGGCAAACCTCGCTGGACCGTAGCCGGGTTGTAGACCCCCAAGTCAGAAGGTGGTCGAGATGCCATTGATGATGTTGGTTGTGGTACAACCGGCGTGACTGTGGCAGTATTGGTGAAGTGAGCTGTGAAGGGCTGGTATGGCACACCCTCCACACCATAGCGAGGGTAGGGCTGCATTGTCGCCCACATGTTGCAATTTATTGAAGAGGGGTTAGTCAGGTCATCTGTATCCCCTGCC